CCTCCTCTCCTGATTATTATCTGGATAATCTCTGGTATTTGTTATAGTGTCGGAAAGCTGACTAACATGGTGGGTAACAAATTTAAAAGAGCTAATAACATAGTGCCCCAAATAAAACATCCACAGGCCAGACTCGCAGCACGGCTCTCTAGGAACCCTCTGGTCTAAACCGAAAGCCTCTGGTACAGCCACACTCTGGGCTGGCTCCCGTCTCCTTGCATCTTGCGGGTCCCTTTGTAGGCCTGACTCCTGCCTCCTAGCGATGCTCCTGAAGGGATGTTCCTGCTCTTTCTAGCACCTTCCAGCCACAGGTGGACATCCTCCACGCTAGAGCATCCTCTTCCAACCTTCCGAAGGACCGAGGGCAGAGCCTAGCAGCCAATCGTGGCAGGCACTTGCATAACAGTGAAGTTTTCCTGAACAAATGCTCATCACTTATTTAACACATATTTGTGTGGCGCTCACTGCCCCAGAAACTGGAAATGCACAGAAACACGGCTGCTGCCCTGGGACGCTTCCTCCTTCCCCGCGTCGTGGGGGCCCAGGTGCAACTCTCTGCTCCACCATTTCCAGCATGACCTGGTGCCACCCCTGATGTCCAGGTCTTTGTTCCAACCCTTCTTGCCACCCCAGCATGCTCCCTTGATCTGGTTTTCTGGAGAATTCCTTACTTTCTGGTCCACTTCTCCAAGCTCCCCTTGCTCACTTGCAAATGCGTGACGGGACGGTTCAAGCAGGAGGCCAGCCATGGAGCCTCCCTCCTGGGTGATCCCAGGCCCCGGGGGCATTGTTCTTGGAAGGTCTCCCTGCAGAGCTCTGGGAAGAGACTTGGTGTTCAGTGCCCTCTGCATCCATCGCCCCCCTGCAAGCACGGAAATGTGCTTCCTGCTGGGGGGTCTCAGAGCTAGAGGGGACTTAACCAATGGACTTCACCCCCAATGCACGGAGCCGTCCATGGCCAGGGCCCCACCAGGACCATTTAAATCAGAACCCCTGGGTGTGGGGCCTGGGCGTCAGGATTGGGTAAAATCCCCCGGGGGGGGGAGAACCAGGGGCGAACCCAAGGGGCTCAGCTCAGCCACAGACCAGAAGAGCCAATCAGCCCTTTCCCATCTGTTACCAGGGATAACGGGGAACGGGAACTCCCGGACGGACTTCACTCAGGGGTGGTGAGTGTGGGTGCCTTGACTGAGGTGAAAGCCGTTAGTGAGTCCTTATTGTCCCTTGGTCCTCCCCAGGGAGTCCTCTGCCAGGACCAGCCCGACTCCCAAGAGGCTTCTGTGTAAGTTTCAAGTTCTGTATAAGTTTCAAGTTCCATGAGTGTGTGTGTGAGAGTGTGTGGGTGTGTGTGTGGGTGTGAGTGTGTGTGTGTGTGAGTGTGAGAGAGTGTGTATGTGTGAGTGTATGTGTGTGTGAGACAGAGTGTGTGTGTGAGAGAGAGTGTGTGTGAGAGACAGTGTGAGAGTGTGTAGTGTGTGTGTGAGAGTGTGTGTGTGTGTGTGTGTGTGTGAGACAGAGTGTGTGTGTGAGAGAGAGTATGTGTGAGAGACAGTGTGAGAGTGTGTATGTGTGTGTGTGAG